ATCTAAATAATAATTTTTTTTTATTAAAATAAATAGTAATTGCAGAATAATTTATTGTAACTACCAATATTTTTTGTTAATATTCTTGCTTTGAAGAAATCAAATTCCAGATTATTTGGATTATAACGACGTTCAATCATTTTCGTGTGGTTTTTTACAGTTTTGTTCGGCCAAGCACATAGATTATTTTTATACCAAAAATTTGGTACACACTCCACTGTGTTATCATCATCAAAACTCACTACTATCCACATTTTGCAAAACCTATAAATGTTTATAAAATATAATACATAATTTAAAATGGGTTTATAATTTTAAAATCTAAAGAATAATAAATATTTACTTACATAAATATCTTTTATATTATTATTTAATATTTACAAATAAATAATTTTTATTAATTTACATATTATATACATTCATGAAGTACTTTATTTACAATTAACAATTATGTGAATGTAGTATAGGCACAGATATTTGTTGACCATCATTCAATCTAACAAGCATAATTTTTCTTTTAATTTCATCTAAATTAATTAATGTTAATTCATCTGACAAATTATCAACTTCATAAATATTAAAAATATTTGAATTAATAGGTGTTTCATAAAAAGGTTTTTTAGATAAAAAAACATTGCCCAATATGACTATTTTGTCCATGTCATTAACATTTACTATGTTTTTTACTTGATAAATATTATTGTTATTACACAACACATAACAGTCTGCAATATTATTGGTTTTTATTGTAAAATTTTCCAAGTATAAAGTTTTGTACTGAGATCCTGTTAAATCTTTTAATAGTGGTCCTTTTGAATGTTCATTTTTACATATGGGAACATTAGTTTTGTTTTTATTATTATCATCTATATTACAATCTATTTTCTCATGGTGACGTTTAATTACTTGCTGAAGTGGCAACTCATGCTTTCTGACCATTTTCTTTAATGCCTTCATATAATTTTCGAATGGGAAAGCGCTTATATTGTCAAGAGGGCCAAAATGCTTATAGTCATCTACTATATGTGTTAGAGCATGGACATTATGGGACACAAAGTGCTTACCATATAAAAATTCAAAATTGACAACAAAATAATTTAGGAGTTCCTGAGCATAGTCTACGTAATTAGTGAAGTCATTACTCAATAATATTCTCATAGAAATGCTTAACGTCATAAAATGTTTATAACAGTCTTCACTTAAATAGTTTTTAAAACATATTTGACCTGTGTAAATTAATAATTGTCGTAGCTCAGTAGCTTTGAATCTGCATAGTTCATTTAAGCCCCTGGGTTTTCGTGCAAACTCACATGGTATGAATGATTTTAATGATAACAGTAATGCAGATAATTCTTTACAAACCAAACTTGGCATTCGTACACTTAAGGGTCCCTTATCAATCCATAAACCAATCAACTTCTTCATAACTCCCAGACATGTTAAATGCATGTAATCCAATGCAAAATGTGTAACAATATTAATACTTGGTAGATTACACAAATTTGAAATGGAACTGCCGACATGATGCTCATCGTGTTTTCTTGTAATGTAATCATTGTGTGTTCTTTTGATTAAACTGGCAGGTGTTAGTGGAAAACATGTTCGGTTTTGGAGGTATTCTCCTTCTTCTGTACAACGTGTACAGGAGTCAAATCCTGTATGACCTTTTATTTTTAATACAAAGGATTTAGCAGGTGCATCAAGACAAAAACCATCTATTTGAACTTTAATTATAGTTGAATTTATATTAATTCCATTTAACAACAATTCTCTAGCTTCTAAAATAAATTGTTCAAGATAATCATTTGAGCATTTTGGTTTTTCGTGGCCCCAATAAATCCCAATAGGAAAGACGTTATTGATAGGACGTATATAGCCCAGAATTGGCCAAAATTGACTTGAACTGCTTTTTGAAATAGGCAGACCATCAATGCCAACAACTATTCTTACCAAGTCTACATTATTTATTGGAGTTAAATTAAAATGTCTTCTAATAGCCAACCTTAAACCAAAATGATAGTATACACCAGGATCAACCATAGTTAGGTTAGAAGTTTCATTTATTTTTCTAGTTCTTAATACACTACGAGAATCCTTAGGAAGTTCAGTTAAACCAGGTATTTTTTTTAGTATTAGCATTAATTTGTTAAGAGCATTACGCGGGATGTTGAAGTTAATTGCCCAATTTGCCAATTCATGTTTTAGTGTTTCAATTGAACTTGGTATATCGTTTGAATTTAAAGGAACATTAGGTGTAAAATCTAATGACAATGCTTGACATTGATCTACAGCCTGTTAAAAGAAACAAAAAATAATATCATTTCTTAGATGCCTACCTAAATATTATAGCACAAACAAATTTTAATTTTACCTGTTTTTAGAATAATTTAGTTCAAAATTTTAGATAGGTAAGCAATGAGTAAGGCTTTGGATTTGAATGTATATAATTACTATAGTAATTGTCTAGTATAGGTACTACTAAGATATGTATTTATACAACCGAAAATTTACACAAATATCAAAATTTATTATTTAGTAATACAATTTATTTATCAAAGTTGTTGGCTGATGAGTTATTGGTAAGGGTACTAACATTGAAAAAATTCTATTAGAAACTAGTAGATTTCAGTAGGTGTTTTCAAAATTAAAAAAAGTATATTAGGTAGTTAAGTAGTTTAATATGACTCGTAAACAATGAACAAACGTAGACCAAACCATGAACCTTATCAGCAATAAAAATTAATTTTAACTACATATAACAGTATATATTGGTATATAATTGCAAAAATTGACAAAATATGAGAAAAACAGAATTATTGTAAAGGACATAAAAACACTCGTAAAAACATGTATTTAAAATACGTCATGTAAAATACAACACATTTAATTGAAAATCATTTGAAACAAATTCATCACTTGCCTAAATTAAATAATCAATTCACAGTAAAAATATCTATTTAATATTTAAATCTGAGCCATACTATAATGACAAATAAATTAGACATTCTGATACATACACAGACAATTACTATACATTAAACTATGCTCAATGTAATAAGTTTAAATAATATTGTTTAACTGTTAATCATATATACCCATGTATTCCACTTTTGCATGCATATTATACAAAATAGAATAGTCAATAGGTATATTGTTATTTGGCAATGCAATTTTTAGAAAATTTAAAACTGTCTTAGTTGCATTATTTTAGTAAACTATTGTATTATAATATAATCTAATTTAAATTAATAATACCTAATCTAAGAACAAGTTAAATTATTTTGTTTCCGCAGTAGTTTTTGTATTTGTTTTAACTGACCTTAGATCTTATGTGTTGGGGCTTAAGTTCATGTTTATTTAAAGGTGAACTATCTACTTCTAATAGTGTTTCATTGATTGTGTTATTATTTAGTCTAACAGGAGATTCATGGAATTGCTGAAAGTTGTATGAATCTAGTTCTTCCATTACTCTCCGTTGCTTAGTCCTGGTGCTTGTCATAATGGTTAATAATTTAATAGACGACTCTAGCTATTAATTATTTAATATAAAACTTTACAATTTGTTCCTAAATAAAAAGAATGCCACTTATTAATTCACTTAATTTAAACATCTTTAATCGTACTGTCAACTGATACTCCTAAGTCCTGTATCCCAACAATATTAAACTCGATATATGTATACTTACTATTGCTTTTTACTTCTAATTATTTAGCTCAGATGAAATAGTATTGTCAATATAATTATTTGGTGACATGTCTAAATAAGTATCATCGGATAAATATTCAATAAAATTATTTGCATCTAACAATCGTCTGCATTTGGCAGACTTATATAGTTAAGCCTTCATTACGAAACATATTTTTATATAGTTGTATAGTTAATAGCTGAGTGTTATTCAACTAATAACTAGGTAATAATATCATAATACCTGACTATTATTTTACTGCTGCTATTATATTTTATAACATTGTACGTAGGATACTTTTATTAACTATTATTAAAATATATAAAAATTATAAAGAAAATTAAAGTTAGAAGCAACGACTAATATGCAGGTACCTCCTAAACTTTATACCTAGCTATGAACATTAAATATTATTTTGTAAGAGTAATACCTACCTACCTATGGAAATACTTAATATTATACTTACGTTTTGTTCGACACGAAAGTTCGCACTTTATTGAAAAAAAACCAACGCGTAACCAACGCGTAGTCCAGCCGTTTTGGCGGAAAATGTAAATTAACCACAAACCACTAACGGCAAAAACAATAATTAACGCGGCATAAAATACGCGACACAGATAGGACGCCTGTGTAATAGTGGGGTTATAAGTTATAATTTATAAATTGTAATACCTATTGTAGCGTACGACGAAAACGAGGTTTTTATTGTGAACGTACTGGCCACTGATAACGAAAAGTGAATTAAGATAATAATATACCGCAAGCGACTTACAGTTGTTGATCGGCATCGCGGCGAGCGCTATAGTCGGAAGAATGAAAAGTCAAAAGTGGCCGTTGATCCGCACGCTCCATGGTGGTGGATTTCTAATTAAGCGGACTACACACGTAGAGTTTTGACCGCGCGATTGAATGGCGTGAGGGCTATCACGCGGGAAAGAATTTCCGTCTAAACGATTTAACGTCTTGCAGGATTGATCGTGTTCAAACCTGTACGGTTGTTGCCCGTTCTTGCGCGTGGTTAATCATTTTATCGTTTTTTTTTCATTTTTGTGACGACGCGCCGTTCAATCACTGCCACCTGGTATAATACCCGCGTAATTATTTTGAATTCCGATATTTAAGAAATTTAATTATTGAAGACTATTAGGCGCCTTAAATATTAATTAAGCGAACAGGTTACTGGTACCTATAATATTTTAATACGTAAGTACATATAATTTAAAATAATGTTTATATTTTTTAATTATTATTAATAAACATTAAGAATAAAATATAAATATTACATTATAATTTATTTTATTCAAGTATCTTAGCATGTCTGATGTTCGCTGTTGGTCCAAAGAATTCTTAACAGATTTCTTAAACATTTATAAGTCTTTTTCCTGCCTTTGGAAAAGTAAATCAAAAGATTATAGCAACAAACATCTACGCAATGATGCATACGATGAGATGGTTAATTTTTGCAAGCCCAGTTTTCCAGAAGCCAATAGGGAATTTGTTGTCAAAAAAATACAAAGCTTACGTGGATCATTCAGGTAAAGCACCTATATTTGTTATTACATATTTTCTAATACATACCTATTAAATTACTTTTAAATTTTAATTTAAAAAAAAAACTGGGGAGTCCAGTGGCGCCGAGTACGTACTTTAGGTGGTTCAAAGGAACCACCTAAATTGGGTGGGTGGGCGTTTGTTGGCACTGGGGTGTATAATATAATTTAGTAGGCATAATTGTAATTTGTATAAACCTGTGAACATAATATTACATAGGTACCTTATAGTACCTACAGCTACAGGCTACAAGTTAACAACACAGTTTAAAATAAAATACATTAATTTACTGTGTACCGTGTCCATAACTTGGATAAGGATTAAGGTTATTTAAACAAAGAATAACAAACATTGTGAATAGTCGTGTGTTCTATATTTATCATTGAAAAATAATTATATTGTATAGATATTATAACAACGCAGACCTGTTAGCTGTCACCAGTTTTAATTTAAATATAAAATAATAATAAACGTATCAATCTATTTTTGTTTTATAAGAAACATTTAGCTTTAACAATATTTATTTTTACTTATTTTATTTTGATATGAAACGAAGACACATTGTACATTAATTATTGTACTTGTTTTCAAACTCTCGAAGACCGACGTTCGTCTCCATCTCTTGAATTAAAACTGTTAACTGTATTAGGTTATAAACCATAAGCACAAAATCGATGTCAGAGTAATTCTAAAAAAAATTTCCGTAGATACATGAAATTTCCACTGGATGTTTATATTAGCATTTTCTATATACGATACATTTTTCAAATATTTAAATTAGTTTTGAACTGTTTACGGACATAATAATCAGTTTCCAATTTTTTTTTTTTTTTCTATGAATATCAATAAAATTTTATTCGCGCGTAGGGTAAAAAAGCGTAAAAATTTAATATAAGACTCCTGATATATTATTACAATAGAAGTTGAAAAATATTCAAAATCTATAGGCACAATTTATATTTATAAGCATTCAAAGTTCGAATTTTATCACATTTTAAATTAAAATTTTTTTTAGTTAAAAATTCATACAATTTTCAACTTTCATAGCTTAGGATTGAAAATTAAAAACAAGGTACCTCGTAAGTAGGTTATACTGTAACCTAAAAATCTTAAAAATATAATCACACAGTTTTTTAGATTCTGAGTGAAACGATGAATGTATTGATTTTACAATGATGTGTGTTTTTTTTTTTTTTATTTATTTATTTTTATTTTGTGTCTGTGTACACGATAAGTAGTCGAAATAATGCTTCGATTTTCAACTGCAGTATCTTGTTCGATTGGAAAGTGAATATCGTTGGTGCATTGCCGCATTGGGGAGGTCAAAATTTAAATTTCCCAGTAGTTTTCAAAAGCGCCGGGAAAAACAAAAGAAAAATTAAGGATAAACGGGAATTTTTACTCAAAATCTGTTTTCGAGAAAATCGATTTTGGTTTTTGGTGTAACTTTAAAACAAATTACCGTAGATACATGAAATTTTCAGCGGTTGTTTATATTTGTATTTTCTATACACGATAACATTTTCAAAATATTTTGATTTATTTTGAACTGTTTAGGGACATTTTCAGTTTCCAATTTTATTAGTTTTTTTTTATGAATATCAATAAAAATTTATTTGTTGAGTAAAAATACTTGAAAATTTAATAGAAAGCTCCTAGAATATTGTTTCAAAGACAGATGAAAAATATTAAAAATCGTTAGCCACAGTTTTTTTTTTTTAAGCATTTAAAGTTCAAAAAATGACAAAATATGGAAAAATCACGAAAATTAGCAAATTATTTCGAGTTAGGAATTCATAAAAATTTTTCTTTTTAAATCTAAGATATGAAAATGTAATACAAGATTCCTTATAAGATTTCCTACATTTATCAAAAAAAAAAATTCTATAAGAAAGTCAAATTAAATTTTTATGAGCGTTTGAAATTCAAATTTTTACAACTCGATTTCTCATGTGGCGATTTCCTTATTTTGTTGTAATTCAAAAACTAATTACTGTAGATACATGAAAATTTCACTGAATGTTTATATTATTAGCATTTCCTATACACCATACAATTTTGAAAATATTTTGACTCTTTTTGAGCCGTTTACGGACATTTTCAGTTTTCAATTTTTTTAATTTTTTTTTCCAGAAATATCAATAAAGTTTTATCTGTTGGGCCAAATAGTGTAAAAAATTAATACCTGATATATTGTTACAATAGCAATTGAAAAATATTAAAAATACAATATTCGGATAATATATTATCAACATATATATATATATATGTTTGTGATATAGCGATTATATGTGTTTAATGATTAATAACACTTAAAATTTAAATATCATAATTCATTAAATATAATTTTGGTTTAGAAAAGAAATGAAAAAAGTGATGGAAAGCCAACGTAGTGGTTCTTCTAAGGATGATATTTATGTACCTACACTGTGGTATTATGATTTATTATTATTCACTAAAGACCAAGAAATACCCACGGACAGTATTTCAAATTTGGGTGAAAATGAATGTCCTGTGATGAATGAACCGATGGTTGATGATGATGAATCAAATGATATAACTGACAACACAGAACCAATTAATTCAATTGTACCTGAGGATCAACCACAAAACACGGTAATATTCTATTCATATTTAAATTTCATTATTTAATTAATATTATAATATATTCAACTATAATAATAATAATAATAATAATAATAATAGTAACAATGAATACACAAAGTTATAGATGACTTTTTGAAGTTTCTGAACCTATACTTTCATAAAAATTTTTTAAAATTCTAAGTTGATTGCTGTTTTCTATAAACGATGAATCATCTGTACATTCTGGAATTGAAGGTGGGCCATGAGATGACATTTCTTCTGCATATGAATCTGGAGTTGAAGGTGGACCATGAGATGACATTTCTTCTGTATAGTATTGTGGTGTTGGGCGTGAAGGTGTGGCTGTATACTCCAATGGATATGTCCGAGTTACATTTTGATAGTGGTTAGATGTTAGAGATGGTGCGGCATTATGTGTTGATGGGATAGAAAGCAAATGAGAAAAACATTTATTATCACATACATTTGTGTCATCTGTCAATGTATTAAGTAAGCCTCTACGTAAAACTGTATTTATTATCGATTCGGCATAAACCATTTGAATTGGATCCATTCTTCCTAACTTCTTGGTCACAGTAATGCCGATTGCTTCACACTCACTGACATCAGTAACATTTTGAGTTTTTAAAGCAGCTGTACATACTTTCATAAATTCCAATTGTGTATCAGCCATTTTCATTTTTTTTTTAATTCCAGGACGAATTGGCGAAGGTGTTGCAAATATGCCACTCTAAACAATCATGAATTAATATTTAATTTTATAAACAAAATAATAACGTAATTTAGTTAAAATTATTCTACTTAATTTGCAAATAGGTACATATCAAACTAACAGACTATTAATCATTATTTAAATAATATGAAATTATCTTATAAATATTTCATCAACATAAAAATATATTTGTAGTTTTTCTGATATTTTTTAGTTTCCTACAACAAAAGATGAATGGCTTCAAGTAGCTAAAGATTTTCAAGATAGATGGCAATTTGTTAATTGTGGAGGATCGATGGATGGAAAACACATACGTATTGTTCCACCTCCAAAATCTGGATCAACATACTATAATTACAAAAATTTTAATAGCATTGTTTTAATGGCTTTAGTCAACTCTAATTATAAGTTATATATGTTGATGTTGGAAAAAATGGCAGATTATCTGATGGGGGTGTTTTTGAATATACAGAATTTGGCAGAAAATTATTGGCTAAGAAATTAAACTTGCCAGATACTAACGCAACTGTGAATAATATGAACTATGTGTTTATTGGTGACGAGGCATTTTCTTTGGAAGAACATTTTTTAAAACCGTATGCCCAGAAAGATTTGAATTCTGAAAAAAGGATTTTCAATTACAGATTGTCCAGAGCTCGTAATGTAGTTGAAAATGCATTTGGGATTATTTCTTCAAGGTTTCGTATTTTGCACACACCTATCAACATGAAGCCAAAAAATATATCTTATGTTATATTAGCGATATGTGTTTTACATAACTTTTTAAGAAGAAGATGCATGCATACATTCACCAACCACAGTTGATAGCGAGGATACAGATGGTTGTGAAAAACACCAAGGGGATTGGAGGAACAATGCAGTGGAATTAGTGGGTTTACAGCCAGTTAATTCAAGAACTGTTACTATAAGAGCAAAAATAAACAGAGATAATTATAAAGAATTCTTTAATACTGAAGGAAGAGTTGAATGGCAAGATGCTATGATTAGAGCTGGAAGAGCTTAGCATCTATAACTTTGTGTATTCATTGTTACTATTATTATTATTATTATTATTATTATTATAGTTGAATATATTATAATATTAATTAAATAATGAAATTTAAATATGAATAGAATATTACCGTGTTTTGTGGTTGATCCTCAGGTACAATTGAATTAATTGGTTCTGTGTTGTCAGTTATATCATTTGATTCATCATCATCAACCATCGGTTCATTCATCACAGGACATTCATTTTCACCCAAATTTGAAATACTGTCCGTGGGTATTTCTTGGTCTTTAGTGAATAATAATAAATCATAATACCACAGTGTAGGTACATAAATATCATCCTTAGAAGAACCACTACGTTGGCTTTCCATCACTTTTTTCATTTCTTTTCTAAACCAAAATTATATTTAATGAATTATGATATTTAAATTTTAAGTGTTATTAATCATTAAACACATATAATCGCTATATCACAAACATATATATATATATATGTTGATAATATATTATCCGAATATTGTATTTTTAATATTTTTCAATTGCTATTGTAACAATATATCAGGTATTAATTTTTTACACTATTTGGCCCAACAGATAAAACTTTATTGATATTTCTGGAAAAAAAAATTAAAAAAATTGAAAACTGAAAATGTCCGTAAACGGCTCAAAAAGAGTCAAAATATTTTCAAAATTGTATGGTGTATAGGAAATGCTAATAATATAAACATTCAGTGAAATTTTCATGTATCTACAGTAATTAGTTTTTGAATTACAACAAAATAAGGAAATCGCCACATGAGAAATCGAGTTGTAAAAATTTGAATTTCAAACGCTCATAAAAATTTAATTTGACTTTCTTATAGAATTTTTTTTTTTGATAAATGTAGGAAATCTTATAAGGAATCTTGTATTACATTTTCATATCTTAGATTTAAAAAGAAAAATTTTTATGAATTCCTAACTCGAAATAATTTGCTAATTTTCGTGATTTTTCCATATTTTGTCATTTTTTGAACTTTAAATGCTTAAAAAAAAAAAACTGTGGCTAACGATTTTTAATATTTTTCATCTGTCTTTGAAACAATATTCTAGGAGCTTTCTATTAAATTTTCAAGTATTTTTACTCAACAAATAAATTTTATTGATATTCATAAAAAAAAACTAATAAAATTGGAAACTGAAAATGTCCCTAAACAGTTCAAAATAAATCAAAATATTTTGAAAATGTTATCGTGTATAGAAAATACAAATATAAACAACCGCTGAAAATTTCATGTATCTACGGTAATTTGTTTTAAAGTTACACCAAAAACCAAAATCGATTTTCTCGAAAACAGATTTTGAGTAAAAATTCCCGTTTATCCTTAATTTTTCTTTTGTTTTTCCCGGCGCTTTTGAAAACTACTGGGAAATTTAAATTTTGACCTCCCCAATGCGGCAATGCACCAACGATATTCACTTTCCAATCGAACAAGATACTGCAGTTGAAAATCGAAGCATTATTTCGACTACTTATCGTGTACACAGACACAAAATAAAAATAAATAAATAAAAAAAAAAAAAACACACATCATTGTAAAATCAATACATTCATCGTTTCACTCAGAATCTAAAAAACTGTGTGATTATATTTTTAAGATTTTTAGGTTACAGTATAACCTACTTACGAGGTACCTTGTTTTTAATTTTCAATCCTAAGCTATGAAAGTTGAAAATTGTATGAATTTTTAACTAAAAAAAATTTTAATTTAAAATGTGATAAAATTCGAACTTTGAATGCTTATAAATATAAATTGTGCCTATAGATTTTGAATATTTTTCAACTTCTATTGTAATAATATATCAGGAGTCTTATATTAAATTTTTACGCTTTTTTACCCTACGCGCGAATAAAATTTTATTGATATTCATAGAAAAAAAAAAAAAAATTGGAAACTGATTATTATGTCCGTAAACAGTTCAAAACTAATTTAAATATTTGAAAAATGTATCGTATATAGAAAATGCTAATATAAACATCCAGTGGAAATTTCATGTATCTACGGAAATTTTTTTTAGAATTACTCTGACATCGATTTTGTGCTTATGGTTTATAACCTAATACAGTTAACAGTTTTAATTCAAGAGATGGAGACGAACGTCGGTCTTCGAGAGTTTGAAAACAAGTACAATAATTAATGTACAATGTGTCTTCGTTTCATATCAAAATAAAATAAGTAAAAATAAATATTGTTAAAGCTAAATGTTTCTTATAAAACAAAAATAGATTGATACGTTTATTATTATTTTATATTTAAATTAAAACTGGTGACAGCTAACAGGTCTGCGTTGTTATAATATCTATACAATATAATTATTTTTCAATGATAAATATAGAACACACGACTATTCACAATGTTTGTTATTCTTTGTTTAAATAACCTTAATCCTTATCCAAGTTATGGACACGGTACACAGTAAATTAATGTATTTTATTTTAAACTGTGTTGTTAACTTGTAGCCTGTAGCTGTAGGTACTATAAGGTACCTATGTAATATTATGTTCACAGGTTTATACAAATTACAATTATGCCTACTAAATTATATTATACACCCCAGTGCCAACAAACGCCCACCCACCCAATTTAGGTGGTTCCTTTGAACCACCTAAAGTACGTACTCGGCGCCACTGGACTCCCCAGTTTTTTTTTTAAATTAAAATTTAAAAGTAATTTAATAGGTATGTATTAGAAAATATGTAATAACAAATATAGGTGCTTTACCTGAATGATCCACGTAAGCTTTGTATTTTTTTGACAACAAATTCCCTATTGGCTTCTGGAAAACTGGGCTTGCAAAAATTAACCATCTCATCGTATGCATCATTGCGTAGATGTTTGTTGCTATAATCTTTTGATTTACTTTTCCAAAGGCAGGAAAAAGACTTATAAATGTTTAAGAAATCTGTTAAGAATTCTTTGGACCAACAGCGAACATCAGACATGCTAAGATACTTGAATAAAATAAATTATAATGTAATATTTATATTTTATTCTTAATGTTTATTAATAATAATTAAAAAATATAAACATTATTTTAAATTATATGTACTTACGTATTAAAATATTATAGGTACCAGTAACCTGTTCGCTTAATTAATATTTAAGGCGCCTAATAGTCTTCAATAATTAAATTTCTTAAATATCGGAATTCAAAATAATTACGCGGGTATTATACCAGGTGGCAGTGATTGAACGGCGCGTCGTCACAAAAATGAAAAAAAAACGATAAAATGATTAACCACGCGCAAGAACGGGCAACAACCGTACAGGTTTGAACACGATCAATCCTGCAAGACGTTAAATCGTTTAGACGGAAATTCTTTCCCGCGTGATAGCCCTCACGCCATTCAATCGCGCGGTCAAAACTCTACGTGTGTAGTCCGCTTAATTAGAAATCCACCACCATTGAGCGTGCGGATCAACGGCCACTTTTGACTTTTCATTCTTCCGACTATAGCGCTCGCCGCGATGCCGATCAACAACTGTAAGTCGCTTGCGGTATATTATTATCTTAATTCACTTTTCGTTATCAGTGGCCAGTACGTTCACAATAAAAACCTCGTTTTCGTCGTACGCTACAATAGGTATTACAATTTATAAATTATAACTTATAACCCCACTATTACACAGGCGTCCTATCTGTGTCGCGTATTTTATGCCGCGTTAATTATTGTTTTTGCCGTTAGTGGTTTGTGGTTAATTTACATTTTCCGCCAAAACGGCTGGACTACGCGTTGGTTACGCGTTGGTTTTTTTTCAATAAAGTGCGAACTTTCGTGTCGAACAAAACGTAAGTATAATATTAAGTATTTCCATAGGTAGGTAGGTATTACTCTTACAAAATAATATTTAATGTTCATAGCTAGGTATAAAGTTTAGGAGGTACCTGCATATTAGTCGTTGCTTCTAACTTTAATTTTCTTTATAATTTTTATATATTTTAATAATAGTTAATAAAAGTATCCTACGTACAATGTTATAAAATATAATAGCAGCAGTAAAATAATAGTCAGGTATTATGATATTATTACCTAGTTATTAGTTGAATAACACTCAGCTATTAACTATACAACTATATAAAAATATGTTTCGTAATGAAGGCTTAACTATATAAGTCTGCCAAATGCAGACGATTGTTAGATGCAAATAATTTTATTGAATATTTATCCGATGATACTTATTTAGACATGTCACCAAATAATTATATTGACAATACTATTTCATCTGAGCTAAATAATTAGAAGTAAAAAGCAATAGTAAGTATACATATATCGAGTTTAATATTGTTGGGATACAGGACTTAGGAGTATCAGTTGACAGTACGATTAAAGATGTTTAAATTAAGTGAATTAATAAGTGGCATTCTTTTTATTTAGGAACAAATTGTAAAGTTTTATATTAAATAATTAATAGCTAGAGTCGTCTATTAAATTATTAACCATTATGACAAGCACCAGGACTAAGCAACGAAGAGTAATGGAAGAACTAGATTCATACAACTTTCAGCAATTCCATGAATCTCCTGTTAGACTAAATAATAACACAATCAATGAAACACTATTAGAAGTAGATAGTTTACCTTTAAATAAACATGAACTTAAGCCCCAACACATAAGATCTAAGGTCAGTTAAAACAAATACAAAAACTACTGCGGAAACAAAATAATTTAACTTGTTTTTAGATTAGGTATTATTAATTTAAATTAGATTATATTATAATACAATGAATTACTAAAATAATGCAACTAAGACAGTTTTAAATTTTCTAAAAATTGCATTGCCAAATAACAATATACCTATTGACTATTCTATTTTGTATAATATGCATGCAAAAGTGGAATACATGGGTATACATGGGTATATGATTAACAGTTAAACAATATTATTTAAACTTATTATATTGAGCATAGTTTAATGTATAGTAATTGTCTGTGTATGTATCAGAATGTCTAATTTATTTGTCATTATAGTATGGCTCAGATTTAAATATTAAATAGATATTTTTACTGTGAATTGATTATTTAATTTAGGCAAGTGATGAATTTGTTTCAAATGATTTTCAATTGAATGTGTTGTATTTTACATGACATATTTTAAATACATGTTTTTATGTCCTTTACAATAATTCTGTTTTTCTCATATTTTGTCAATTTTTGCAATTATATACCAATATATACTGTTATATGTAGTTAAAATTAATTTTTATTGCTGATAAGGTTCATGGTTTGGTCTACGTTTGTTCATTGTTTACGAGTCATATTAAACTACTTAACTAGGTACCTAATATACTTTTTTTAATTTTGAAAACACCTACTGAAATCTACTAGTTTCTAATAGAATTTTTTCAATGTTAGTACCCTTACCAATAACTCATCAGCCAACAACTTTGATAAATAAATTGTATTAATAAATAATAAATTTTGATATTTGTGTAAATTTTCGGTTGTATAAATACATATCTTAGTAGTACCTATACTAGACAATTACTATAGTAATTATATACATTAAAATCCAAAGCCTTACTCATTGCTTACCTATCTAAAATTTTGAACTAAATTATTCTAAAAACAGGTAAAATTAAAATTTGTTTGTGCTATAATATTTAGGTAGGCATCTAAGAAATGATATTATTTTTTGTTTCTTTTAACAGGCTGTAGATCAATGTCAAGCATTGTCATTAGATTTTACACCTAATGTTCCTTTAAATTCAAACGATATACCAAGTTCAATTGAAACACTAAAACATGAATTGGCAAATTGGGCAATTAACTTCAACATCCCGCGTAATGCTCTTAACAAATTAATGCTAATACTAAAAAAAATACCTGGTTTAACTGAACTTCCTAAGGATTCTCGTAGTGTATTAAGAACTAGAAAAATAAATGAAACTTCTAACCTAACTATGGTTGATCCTGGTGTATACTATCATTTTGGTTTAAGTTTGGCTATTAGAAGACATTTTAATTTAACTCCAATAAATAATGTAGACTTGGTAAGAATAGTTGTTGGCATTGATGGTCTGCCTATTTCAAAAAGCAGTTCAAGTCAATTTTGGCCAATTCTGGGTTATATACGTCCTATCAATAACGTCTTTCCTATTGGGATTTATTGGGGCCACGAAAAACCAAAATGCTCAAATGATTATCTTGAACAATTTATTTTAGAAGCTAGAGAATTGTTGTTAAATGGAATTAATATAAATTCAACTATAATTAAAGTTCAAATAGATGGTTTTTGTCTTGATGCACCTGCTAAATCCTTTGTATTAAAAATAAAAGGTCATACAGGATTTGACTCCTGTACACGTTGTACAGAAGAAGGAGAATACCTCCAAAACCGAACATGTTTTCCACTAACACCTGCCAGTTTAATCAAAAGAACACACAGTGATTACATTACAAGAAAACACGATGAGCATCATGTTGGCAGTTCCATTTCAAATTTGTGTAATCTACCAAATATTAATATTGTTACACATTTTGCATTGGATTACATGCATTTAACATGTCTGGGAGTTATGAAGAAGTTGATTGGCTTATGGATTGATAAGGGACCCTTAAGTGTACGAATGCCAAGTTTGGTTTGTAAAGAATTATCTGCATTACTGTTATCATTAAAACCATTCATACCATGTGAGTTTGCACGAAAACCCAGGGGCTTAAATGAACTATGCAGATTCAAAGCTACTGAGCTACGACAATTATTAATTTACACAGGTCAAATATGTTTTAAAAACTATTTAAGTGAAGACTGTTATAAACATTTTATGACGTTAAGCATTTCTATGAGAATATTATTGAGTAATGACTTCACTAATTACGTAGACTATGCTCAGGAACTCCTAAATTATTTTGTTGTCAATTTTGAATTTTATATGGTAAGCACTTTGTGTCCCATAATGTCCATGCTCTAACACATATAGTAGATGACTATAAGCATTTTGGCCCTCTTGACAATATAAGCGCTTTCCCATTCGAAAATTATATGAAGGCATTAAAGAAAATGGTCAGAAAACATGAGTTGCCACTTCAGCAAGTAATTAAACGTCACCATGAGAAAATAGATTGTAATATAGATGATAATAATAAAAACAAAACTAATGTTCCCATATGTAAAAATGAACATTCAAAAGGACCACTATTAAAAGATTTAACAGGATCTCAGTACAAAACTTTATACTTGGAAAATTTTACAATAAAAACCAATAATATTGCAGACTGTTATGTGTTGTGTAATAACAATAATATTTATCAAGTAAAAAACATAGTAAATGTTAATGACATGGACAAAATAGTCATATTGGGCAACGTTTTTTTATCTAAAAAACCTTTTTATGAAATACCTATTAATTCAAATATTTTTAATATTTATGAAGTTGATAATTTGTCAGATGAATTAATATTAATTAATTTAGATGAAATTAAAAGAAAAATTATGCTTGTTAGATTGAATGATGGTCAACAAATATCTGTGCCTATACTACATTCACATAATTGTTAATTGTAAATAAAATACTTCATGAATGTATATAATATGTACCTAAATTAATAAAAATTATTTATTTGTAAATATTAAATAATAATATAAAAGATATTTATGTAAGTAAATATTTATTATTCTTTAGATTTTAAAATTATAAACCCATTTTAAATTATGTATTATATTTTATAAACATTTATAGGTTTTGCAAAATGTGGATAGTAGTGAGTTTTGATGATGATAACACAGTGGAGTGTGTACCAAATTTTTGGTATAAAAATAATCTATGTGCTTGGCCGAACAAAACTGTAAAAAACCACACGAAAATGATTGAACGTCGTTATAATCCAAATAATCTGGAATTTGATTTCTTCAAAGCAAGAATATTAACAAAAAATATTGGTAGTTACAATAAATTATTCTGCAATTACTATTTATATTTATTAAAAAAAAATTATTATTTAGATAATTTGTCTGAAGCCAGAAGAAAAGCTAAACTTGCTGAAGAAACATCTGAACTATCCTCTGCAGCTAATTACGATAAGGAATCCAGAAAAATTAGACATAAAAAATTGAATTCAAGTAGCGAGGAAATCTCATGTAATGAAAACCGCGAAAAAAACCATAGACTAAGTCAGAAAAAAAATGTTAGAAGTTTTTCAATTCTTGATAATCCCCCTCTATTTAATGTTGACTTTGATGAAGGTATGATTTAATATTTGATTATTTATGATTTCAAAATATATAATGTATTTCTAACTCTTTTTTCTTGTATAATACAGTTATTCAAATCTATACATTAAGACCATATTTTCAAATTCTTGACATTTGTTTCGTAGGTACCACAGTATAGTAGTACAACAAGTTTTTTTTTACTGTAAATTTTGTTTAGTAGATCATTTTGAAGATCTAAATTGGATCAAGCATAGCTCATGAGTTATTGATATGGAGCTATGATGATTTGAATATTTTAGTAATTATACTAATTAATATAAATCTCCCAACATTTATAATTTGTAAAAATAGCTAAGTAAAATAAATAGTAGAGCCATTAAATATATTTTGTACATTTTTCTTTTAAAACTATTTTTGAGGCCTATATCTTTAATACATTTTGATAATTCAGAAACTAATTCAAATTTTGATAAAGATACTTCAACATTTTAAAAATAATTATTCACTTAATAATTTACAGTAAAAAAAGGGTGCCATTTTGAAAAACAAACATTTTGTATCGCCACTCTACATAAAAATTAAAAACTAAAGAATTTTTAAATATTATATATTAGATTTTGTAAGTTTGTACTGGAAGTTTGGGTGAACATGCTATTAAGGTGAATTGTCCAATATAATAGTCTTATTTACTTGTTTTTTACAGATAGTAGTTATGAACACCATCATAATCCAATTAATCAAAAGACTACTTCAATGCATTCAGGTATTTTAATTTATTATTTTTTTTTTTTTTTATCCTAATAATAATATTGGTACTAAATTGTATAATAAACTAAATTTATTTTACTTCCGTACAGAACAGATCTTTTTACATATAACACTTTTTTCTGTCAATTAATTTATATAAGCATTATTTATTTGAATAATTTTATATTGTATAGGTTCACCAAAAAAAGCTCATAAGAATTTAGTGGATGGTTTGACTTCACCAACAGAAAATTTGAACGTAAGCCAAAAGGAAATACATTCAACAAATTCTAATGATAGACAATTTGGCTTAAACTCTATGGCAAATACCCCAGGTATAATGTTATTTACTGAAATAAAGACTTATTTTATATTGCCTATTTTAAACAATTTTTCATTTAAATTATAGGTTCATCTAAAATATCCAAGGAAGGTTATTATAATAACAGTTCAGAATCTTGGTCGAGTTCACCATTAGAAAATTTGAATACAAGTTAAACAAATATACATTCAAAAAATTCTTATGAAAGACAATTGAGCCTTATGGAAAACACTCCAGGTATAATGTCATTTACTGAATTTCAATAAAGTATTTATATTTTATATTGCCTATTTTAATGAAACTTTTAATTTCTATCATAGGTTCTTCTAAAATATCCGGGAAAGTTATAAATACAGAATCTTGTTTGAGTTCACCATCAGGAAATTGGAATGTTTCTCAGGATAATAGTGCTGTTTTGGTGAAATCGAATAGATGTAAGAGACGTATAGATTTCAATTCAATAGTAAACACTCATCCAGGTATATTTAAATTTAAATAAATTAATATAGGTATTTTGTTTACTGTTAGTATACCTAATAACATTTTACATTTACATTTTAGATTCTTCTAAGGTATCTAATGATAGAAATATTAAAAACACATCTAATGGTAAATATTAATACTATTCTTTATATATGTACTATATAATAGTTCCTAAATCTTAATTGCATTACATTTGTTGAGAAAAAATAGATTTACTTCTTCGAGCTGTTACCAATTTGAAATATGAAATGAGAGAACATGGCATTAAAATTGAAAGACTGGAACAAACCATAGTTAATAACTGCTTAAACAAGAAGATGATAGTTGATTACAATGATAATACTACAAATGATATGTTTGATTTTCCAATAAAAACTTTAGAAGAACTAAGTATATTTGAAAACAAATTAATGGATAATAATTTTAGACTTCAAATGGTAAGTATATTATCATAGTTATTTCAATATACATCTTATAAAAGTATAAGTGTATAGATGGGTTAATTGGGAGATATTGTTTATTACTTGCTGTGTTATACTATATAGTTATAAGACGTAAAGCTCTTTATAGATCAAATTTCATTAGTTTTTTTTAAATAAAATTTATTCATTTTTTTTTTGTTGGTTTTAATTACTTTCAAAATAATTAATTTTACAGCTTTAAAACTAAATTAACTTACAATTCATGAAATATTTGTTTTATTCACACTATACATTGTTTAATATATTATGGGAATAGGTTTCAATACCCTTAGAGCTGACTAAAATATTCATTAACAAAACAACTAAGTTCATGATATATTTTATTAAACTAAATATTTATACTCTTAAACCATTTTCAGATAAATTATCTATCCAGATTGGAACGTCCAAAGGTAGCTGATATGACAAGACAAATAATGGCCAAAGTTTTTCATAATAATATACTCTCTGTGCATTCTTATATCGGACAAAAAAAGAAAAATGTGTTTTCCGTGCTCAATTCTTGTTCATTAATATTTGGTAGACTATATTAAAATAATTCATGTTCTCTTGATGTTATACAATTAAAAAAAATAAATATTTCATATATTTCAGCAACTATAAGAAACATACCAAAACATAGAAACTGTACAGATCTTGAAATTGTTGGTCCATTAAAAATGTACATGGCTAATGCCAAATTCCGCGAAGAAAAAAAGCAGCAATCCATCTCTAATGCATAGTTATATTATAAATACTACTATTGTTAGGTTATTATGGTATAGAATTAAAAACTTATAAGGCTATGTAAGTTAAAGTAGATATGTGTCAAGGAAGACATGTAAAACAATATAATTTAGGTTATTAATAAAAACGCCATCAAAAAAATGTACAGTCAAAAGTATAAATGATTTTATAACTAAAATGATATTTTGTATTTTTGAATTTTAATTAAGTTAAAAGTTTAGTTAACTATTGATATATATATATCAATGGTATATTTAAATTAAAATTGATTTATGAAAATAAATCCTTCACTTTGTTATTTGTTTCATTTATTTTATTCTTTTGAGTTTTCTCAGTGGGACTGAATCTTAATTTTACTTGATTTTCCCCAACCTCGTATATAAAAATTAAAAATATAAAGATATTATATTATATAATATACTTGTATGCTTATTATTTTACTGAATTATTTCTGTATTATATTTATTATAATAAATAGACATGTTTTCTTATGTTGATATCGTTTGAGTTGATTTCTTTGTATTCATATAACCCTTTTAAAAACTTAATTTATTTGATTGTTTGGATTTCTTATTCCATAAACTATTAATTTGACATAAATAATTTTATTTTATTTTGAAGAGTATAATATTATTAAACTATGTGTTATTTAACCAAAGTATAATGTTAGACATCTCAATTCCCAATATAATAGAAAAAAACCCAAAACATCAAATTCTTAATCCAAAAATCAGTGTTTTAATACATAATAATATGTGCAGAATGGATATTTTATTATATTATAATATTTCTAAATAATAGCATTGAGTATGGATAGTATAGGTATAAACCTTGTATAAGTTAATTCCAAATTAATTATTTATTTTATAAAAGTAAATTAAATTTGTTAAGAGTAAATGTATATCATTTAGCATAATATTAGGTATAATAAAGGAAAATATTTTAAAATTAATTTAGAATGTATTTTTAAAATATAATTAAAATATATTATAGTTTTGACAAAATAATTCATAAAACGTCATTAAAATATTTTAATGTTATATAATTATATTTCCTGAAAAATATTTTAAATTTAAATTATAAATTACGAGTGAAAATATTTTTAAAATAGTTAGAAATATATTTTCAAAATGTCTTTGAAATATTTTGAAAGTGTATTTAAGACGACAAAAAATATTTTCAAAATATCATTAAAACATTTTGTTCCGATATAATTATATTTTTAAAATTATATATATTTTCTGTAAAATATTTTAAAAATAATTTAAAAATATTAAATTGCTGTGTGGGTTATATTCTGTTTAATTGTTATACAACAGTCTGATTCAATATTAATAAAATCGTTGCCTTTCAAAACTATTGAATAGAGACCTAAAAAATGATCAACATCATAATTGTGAATAGGTTTATTTAAATGAATACGACCCTTTTTAACTTTTATAAATACCATTTATAAAAGTAAATTTATTTTTTACTTAAAAAAATTAAAATCATCTCTTGTTTTCCCATTCTTTAAAAATTTTTCACCATTATAAATAATATTCAATTTTGTTTCCGAACTTGTATTATAACATGTTATTACGTTTTCTGTAGATTCAATTGTATATCTATCTAGTAAATTTAACATATATTCATCGTTTAATACAACTGATAATCTTTTTCCAAACATTGTATCAATCATTAAGAACTTATTTACTTTGTATGGTTTTCCTTCTTCCAAATCATTAAATTTTATAAATGTATATCCATTGTTTATTTTATTTACCGCATCTTTAAAGTTTTCCATTTCTATTTCTTATTTATATTAGAAAATATAAATTTTTTTATTTTCAATAATTTTTTTAAAAATTTTTTCATTATAAATATAAAAAAATGAATGAAACTATATATTGTCTTAAATATAAAATTCAAACAAAAAATATTAATGCAACTAAAATTCAAACAGTTAATGGTAGATGGAGAATTTCATCAAAATGTTTTATCTGTAACACAAATAAAAATAAATTTATAAAAAATCCTACAATTGGACATAATATTTCCAATAAAAAATTAAATGATACAGATAAAATGATATTGGCTTAAGAACTTCATAAACCAGTTAGAAAAAAATTTCCTAAACGAAGAATTTTTACTAAAGGTATTGATGATTTATGGGCTGCTGATTTAGTTATAATGAGAAATTATTCTGATGAAAATGAGGGTTATTCTTATATAATAACTGTTATAGATACGTTTTCAAAATTTTCTTGGGCTTTAGAACTCAAAAAGAAAGATGGAATTAGTGTTTCAGAAGCATTTCAAAAAATAATAAAACAAGCTATATCACAAAATCATCAAGCACCAAATTTTCTTCACGCAGATAAAGGTTTGGAATTTGAAAATAAACATTTTAAAAAAGTTTTGCAAGAATATGGAATTAAAATGTATCACACCCAAAATGAAGAAAAATCGTCAATTATTGAAAGATTTAATAGGACATTAAACAGTAAAATGAGATAACAATTTGAAGTTACAAATTCAAAAAAATGGATTAAAATTTTACAAAGTTTAATATATGAATATAATTTCAAAGACATACATCGATCTATTGGTATGAGACCTTGTGAAGTAAATAAATCTAACGAAGATGTTGTTTTTCACAAATTATTTTCTACAAAAAACAAACCTAAACCAAAAATTAAATTTATTGTAGGTGATAGAGTAAGAATAACAGCTTCTAAAAAAACATTTGGTAATAAATTTATTAATAATTGGACAAAAGAAATATTTATAGTTAATGAAATTTTAAACACAAATCCTATTACCTATACAATTATAGATTTAAACAATGAAGAGATTATAGGGAGTTTTTATAACCAAGAGTTACAAAAAACAAAATTTTAATAATATGACCTAAGTTAAAGGAAGTGATATATATAATAGAATATCTATTATAGTATATTTTATAACTATACTATAAAATATTTACGGTTTCAAGCCCATGATTATGAAATTATAAAGTTGGGAGACACCGTGTCTCCCAACTCATTAGGATATCATATTCTAGTAACCGTATGGTATTGTATCATAATCTGGTAATATTATTCTTTTATCATAACCAAACGAGAATTTTTTTGTAACTTTCTTATTAACTATATTTTTAGTAAGCGTATCACGTGTTATTTGATTATATACTAGTTCTATATTACTATTTTTATTTTTTTGTTTCATTAATTTTATCATTGATTCACCATTAAGTTTTAACAAATTTTGATAATTCAAAGTAAATCCCTTTATAACCGTTTGATGTTTATTATCGTTTGTTTTATAATAATAACTTTTAGGACCTGTAGATGGCCAATCTGTAATATATACATTTTCACCTAATTCATCAGTCCATTCTCCCAACATTGTTCCTGTTTTAATTTTATTAACACCATTATCTATATAGAAAATAGAATCGGTATCAAAATAAGCTACAGCTCTACCTAATTTATCTAACATTTCATAAAATCTTAATCTTGCACTAGATGTTGTAAATAAAGCTATTAATATATTTGTATTATGAAAATTCTCAACTTCATAATCTTTATAATTATAACACATTTGTATCATATTGTCGTTTAATATTTTTATATTGATATTTTCTAATCTATCATCTAATAATATTTTATAGAATTGTTGTGGATCTGTAACAAACTCAGTTTTTTTCATGAAGGTCGTAGTGACACGGTACGCAGCGGCAACCAGTACAAAGTACAGGTACCGCAGCGGCCGGTCTACGTTTTTGTCAACCGCCACCACGGGCTACAGCGCGACATCGCCAACTCTCCCACCGCGCCACAAAGGCACAAGGCGGGACGGGAAGGCAAGTCGCGCAATACGAGTACCGACCGCCGGCAATTTGCTCTCTCGACCGCCAACGGTTCAACGCGACACACATCTTCCTTTTTCTGAAAAAGATCCGTACACCGTGTCTGATCCGACCACGCCGTGCGCTAACAGCCACCACCGATACCGTTGATACACCTTTTTTTGTACTACCACGTTGTTACCGTGTTATTGTGTAAAAAAATAAAGACGATACTCTCTCTCAAACTCGGACGCATTATTTTTTTTTGTTGTGTTCACTTCGTTCCACATCGAGGCGGGCTTACCGCGGACCACCAGCAGACCACCGCCGTAGCCGCGTCAGTAGTAAATAATTTTAATTGAATTATTATATATTAGTAGTAAGCAAGGTACGTTCACCACACTTACCAAAATTTATTTTCAACATAAAATCTGTTAAATATTACAGAAATGAAAATTTACAAAAAATGTAGACATATTACAATAAATATTTTAAGCATTACAGATATTTAGAGTTATTTATAGATATTACAATAATTTAGGTATATTATAACAGATATTTAGAGTTATTGCAATAAATATTTTAAACATTACAGTCATTACAAAAAAATACTTTAAATTAAAAATATAAATTTTCCGCCAATCATAAATAAATTGTAAACAAATAACAACCAAAGTATTTTCGTGTTTTTTTATATATATTATATGAAAAAGTATATTACAGCACACCATTAGCTATTCCGTTTATAGGATAGTGGTATTAATTCGTAATATCAAGTTTTCTGACGTCAAATAGAACATTCTAGAAGGTTCTTCTTCTCTAGATTACGTCATTATTGTGTAATATTGCATCATGTTTTTCGAGGCTATAAATACAAGTCACTATTGAGTTTTGACTCATTCGTGGGCATACTGTAGCCGTTTTTAGTCGTCTAAATTGCTCTATAATTCTATACATATATATATAGATATATGAAACAGTTTTTCCAACAAAAATCACTCAAGTATCATTTGTTTACAACTTAAATATTTTCAAATAAAAATATTGAATTGAAATTCCAAGTTTGTAATTGTTGAATTGAAATTCCAGTTTTAATGTATAGGCGAGATGCTGAATTGAAATCTCAATATTTGTAGATGTCGAATTGAAAGTCCGGTTTGAAAT